TGTGTGTGTGTGTGTGTGGTACCTGTCGTGGAAACCAATTTATGATACAAAATGTGAAATATTTCGTGTGGCAACTTTAACTGATGCTTACCATGACAACAAGCTATCAAAATGTTCTATAAAACGTTTCACATAGTCACTTGAAATTGTATCTGTAATGGTAATTTGATGTAACTATGCACAAGTCGTCGTTTTGAGCAGTGTTTGTCTTAAAAAGTTGGTGTTAACGCAAATTATTGATTCATTTAGAACATAAAGTACTACCATCATAAATTAGTTCAAACTATAAATATATGCGCGTGTGTGTGTGTGTGTGTTTGCTGTACGTGTGAATATACTCCAATTTTTGTCTTAAATAATCACGTCAACCTTAATATTTTGATGCTGGATATTCAAGTACTCATACAAACATTCACACAACTGCATGTATTTCTAACGTTTCAAACATTTTGTTTTTAGGATTTCATACATGTTTTTCTTAAGGGTTTATTAATAACTATGACTGACCACAACATATCTAGTGTATATATTCCATATGACATCTATACAAATTGCCCGTTGTTTTGTTAGAGTGGAAGAGATTATAGCACCAAAAACGATGGGTCAGCAGTTTTATGGTATACAAATTTAGAAAAACGGCAGCGCTTGTAATAACGAAAACAAATAATGGGTTTTCATTTACTCAGTTTTATGAGAATGAGCCTAAACTGTTTTTCGCTGTTGTAAATTGTTCCCTCCCCCCCAAAAAAAACAACAACAACCAAAACAGCGACAATGTGAGTTATAATATAATAGAATATTAAAATGAATTTCTCAGGCCAATGAACGAAACCTCTTCCATTTCCACACGCACAGCGGCAAGTCTGAAGGCTAATGACACTAAAAAACGGCTTTCGATACCCGTAGCGGGCACACCAAATATAGCCCATTGTATAGCTTTATGTTTAACTACAAACAAACAAACCATTTCCACACTCCAGACAGAACATTACATATTAAAAAATAACATTCAAATCCAGTAAAATGTGCTCTCACTGAACTCCTCTAGGCAAAAAGGCCAAAATTCCGAACTTAGTCTACCACAAAATTCCTGAAAAGTATATTTAAACATAAATATATTTTGCAGAATTTTCTCGTAGAACTGTAGGATATAAAACTAATCCTAAATGACTAGCACGTCGCTAACAAACCATATTATTTTGTCCGTTCCTACCATAGTCTAACGAATATCAGAAATTCCTTTCTCAATTCTCCCATCTTCTGCTGATGTCCCCTCCAATAAACTGAATACATCCTGCTGATATATTAAATATTTATGCAAAACAGGGAAGTGGAGGAGGAAAGACACTTCCCAATGAGCCTTACTTGTGTATACTAACCTACTGACAGGCGTGTAAAATCAATTATATCTATAAAAATATTAGATTAGATTTTATAAAGCTACACTTTGTTGGGTTGAAATGCAAAAATTATTATTACGTCTATAAACATTGAACTTGTAAGTTCTTATATATTTATGTACGAGCTGATATGAACTTAAAGTTCGCTCTATTTTTAACAACAAATCCCTGTTATTGGCTTATGAACTAAATCATAGTGAAATCAGAAAAGGACAAAAGGTCAACTCTGAACAACGAAGTTTTTTCACATCTGAGCTCAGTGTCAATTAAAGATTGTTAGTAATATCTGTACCCAGATATCCCCTAAACGTTATTACAGAATAATTGTAAATTTTGTTTTACAATTAAACCAAAACTGTTAGTTAATTGCCGTAAAACTAGTAATAGATTTAATTAAAACCTTGAAAGTTTTAACAAGGTAAAAATATATTTATTGAAAAGAATACATTCAAGTGTGTGTAATCCTGTATCTTATGATGACAGAACGTCTGTCAAAACGTTGCATGTATTACTTTAAATAAACCTGTTATTACCCACGTTAATATTACCACATTGTTTTTATTACAATTATTTACATAAGTGAGATATCTTTCCAAACATGCTACTACTAAACTGTTATAAAATAAAGCAACATACGAAACATTTTCTACTAAGCAACATGACCTCCCTAATCATATGAGTGAAAAATTAACTTAAGAGATATATCAGGGCCATTATCAATGGCTTATCAGGTTTTTAGAAATATATTTCGGTAAAATAAAATAGGCTGCTTAACATCAGTCATGTTTCGTTCAATATGCACGGTTTGAATGCAACATTTTTGCACCTTTATTTCATTTTATACTGTTTCCCACCTCGTTTTTATTTTAGCTTGACTCTCCTTTTCCGTGTTAATTTTTTTTTCACAAAAGAACTCGATTTCATTAAACACTCAAGCAACCATGTCAACACAATTAGTGGTTATTTCCTATATATATATATATATATATATATATATAT